TTGAGTCTTTGGGTCCAATGTGGCAATCATCCTTTGTCCAACATAGGTATTGTCTCCGACATATTGCTGCGAACTATCATGGAAGGTACAAGAAGAATGATGATGGTCAATTAATTGTGCGCATGAGTAAATGAAAACAAGTTAGTAAGTTATATATTTTTTGATCATTTTAATTTTGCAAAGAAAGCAAGTTAGTAAGTTATACATTTTTTGATGAGGTTACGAACTACTTCCTCGAACGTTTGAATCAATGCTTCAAGATTTACGAGCGAAGAACGAGGAAGGATACGATTACATCAGCCTCATCGATAAAGAAATGTGGACGAACACATATGATGGTGTATATCTATATGGACACATGACGACCAACTTGGCTGAGGCAATCAATTCAATCTTAAAGGGTGCACGTCACTTACCTGTAGTGGCTTTGGTAAAAACTACATATTTTCGTTTGGGGGCGCTTTTTGCGAAGCTCGGGGGACAAGCTCAAACCTGGATGCAAGGCGTCATGTTTATCACCCTAAATTAGTTGCAGATCTACAGAAAAAAATTGTTGCATCAAATGAATGTCTGTAACAAGCTTCTCTAGAAGGCATGAAATGTTTCGTGTCACAGAGTTACCGCGACCTCTTCAAGGGATTGAAGTTGTGTCGTTAAGAGTAAATCTAAGGGACAGAACGTGCGACTGCGGGTTTTTTCAAGCTCTGAAGTATCCATGCTCTCATGTGATAGCAGCTTGCTCGCATACACGTCAAGACTATAATTATTTTTTTGGATCCCGTATACCTACTATCTGAAGTTTTTAAGGTATACGAATTTGAGTTTCCCCCCATAAGTAATGATAAAGAACCTGATGAGGTTCAAGATTGGCTTCCGATTATACCAAATCCGAGTTTATTGGGAGAGTGGTCGTCCAAAATCCAATCGAATTCATTGCGATATGGATATTCGAGAAAGATCTAGATAAGACAAAAATGTGGTCATTGTAGAAACCCAGGACACACTAGAAAAATATGTTCACTTCTGTTGTCATTAAGTAACAATTGATGAGGAAATGATGTATTTGTTTATCAAATAATAATTCTTGTATTTTAATTTACATTTACTTCAAGTTAATGTCATTCGATAATCGCTGATGAAGATTAAAAAAACGAACACAATCATTAAATTTTATCAAACTAATAACAATTTGGTATTTAAATACAACAAACTTATAATAAGAATTAAATGGTAAATGATAATCAAATTACAATAACTGATATTAAATGGTAATAAATAAAATTAACTGAAATATATTAAAAAAATCTAACAAATTTAACAAAATAAAGTAAGTATTAAATGAGAAATAATAAAAAATTACAATTAAACAAAATAAAGTAAATACAAATATAATAAAAAAATCTATCGATGCCTGCATCGCGAATGTGTTCCGCAGGGAGGTGGTTGTCAGCCTCGAGGAGGATTTCTTCGTATCACTGGTTCTGACTCCTCGCTGTCATCGTCGTCGTCGTCATCGTCGTCGTCGTCATCCTGAGAAGGTACATTAGGTTGATGAAGAGCTGATGACGATGAAGCACCTCCATAGAATAAGGACCCTGAAGGTGTATGACTGACTATCCCACCGGCTGCGAAAACTGGGAAAACTAGGAAAACCAGACATCGCTGAGTGTGAAAACTGTACAGGAGGTGTTTGTGCTGCGGCCATGGGTGATGAGGCTGAACCCGCCAAATATCCAGTATATGAACCCTAAGTTGGATCTACAAACATAGACCCATAATAGCCTCCAGGAGGGGTCATCTGTGACGGTGGCAGGGTCATAAAACTAGGTGAAGACGGCGGCGGCGGCATCTGGTAATGGAAAGGCGATGGCGGCATCATATATGGCTACGGTGGCTGCTGGGAAGGTCCTGCTGGTGCAGCTGAGGATGAACCGGAAGCACCTGCTCTCCGTCCACAAGTCGGGGGACGATGGTGCTGTGTCGGTGAACGTCTCTGTCGACGTCGTGGAAAGGTCTGCCCTCGTGCATCTTCGGAAGTAGAAACAGTTTCCCGTTACTGTTGAACCACTCATAATAATCCTCAACATACATCAAGAGGTCATCAAAAATGGGCTCTCTACGTGGAAGGCGCCGATGTTGATCCTCCCACAACACGACCCACCCATGATGCCTCACCAGCCAATCTGTATCTGTCTTGCCACGACTATCTAAGCTATGCAACTCGTCCATATTGCGAGGTGCTTCAGGAATTGGTTGAAAACAACAAAATTGCCGGAGCACGCGATCAGTGGAGTGCCACTCGACGGTCGCATAACAGATCAGAAGGACCATCGCCATCCAAACATCTGATGGACCCCTCAACTCAGTTGGGATCACCGCCCTCACATCATCAGTAGAATATGGCACCCATTCAAACTAAAACAAATAATATATAATTTTTATCAAAATAATAATCTAATTATATAACTATAATCTAAAATCGGTTTTTAAACATTAAAATTCATACTTATGTGCCAGCCTTCTGATCGATTAGCACCCTAATTTTTTCTAAATCATCATTCCTATCAGTAGACCACCTATTCAAGGAAAAAAATTGTTATACACTGTATAAAATTATTAATATACAAAATCAGTTTTATAATTACTTCAGAAGTAGTGGAAATACGAATGAGTTCTTCACACAGACATAAAAAGGGCAATCGATACCATGCCCAAGACTGTAACAACAGAGACATCCACCGATAGCATTACGTCTGTAGTCAGTGGCTCCACACATTTCCCTGTACAGCAAAGCCAAAACTACCGAGCCCCAACTAAATGATCCGCCGAGACGAAAATCGCTAAGATGTCGCAACCACATGCATTGAACTAGGTTGCGCGATTTGTCCGGTATCAACAACCCTCCTATCAGTTGCAGTATGCATGCCGTGCATACATCTTAACCTCATCCTCAGAGGCGTCTGCGCTCAACTCCCGAAAATTGGCATCTAACCAATTTAACGGTATCCTACCTCTGATAAAATTTTCGGGACACGTCCTAGACTATCCCGACACAAAGTAGTCCAAGAACCGAAGCTATCTCTGATATCACATATCCATCCACCAGAAGCCCCAGGTGCATAGAAACATCCTCAAGCGTGATCGTGCACTCTCCGCACGAAAGAAGGAATGTGTGGGTCTCCGGCCTCCACCGCTCTACTAAGACAGAAATCAGGTCTGGCTCTATCTTACAGTGACTCTGATATCTACCTATGTAACCGAATCCAGCCTCTACTAAATACGACAAGACACGACTGAGTATCACTAACTTAAGATTCCTAATAAAAGGATCTAATACACGGTCCTTCTCCTAAAAATAAATAATTACAAAAATTAATTCTTAATCTAATAATCATGCATTAAATAAATCAACTAATTATTACTAATAATTTAAATTAAATTAAAACGTTAAAATGTTACCGTATTAGCAAAGTGTCGAGATGTTTAATTCTTAATCTAATAATCATGCATTAAATAAATCAACTAAATATTACTAATAATTTAAATTAAATTAAAACGTTAAAATGTTACCGTATCAGCAAAGTATAGAGATATATGATTTTCATCCGAGCGAAGTAGACTGCCTTCCATTATATATCTGTAAAAGAATTATATTAGTAAAATATTAAATAAAGTAAATACATAATAGTAAAAATATTATAAAATATACCTTAAAAAGATAGAGTATTTGAGAGAAATTGAGAGAATTTGGTGTGATAAAAGTGATTGAAGATTGGGGTATTTATAGGGAGGATGGGGACGTGTAGGGTTGGGTATTTAGGGGTATAGCGCGCGCCCTATACCGCGCTATACCCCACGTGTCAGATACCCAGGTATAGCGCGGATCAGGGGGCGTGCTATTCCCACGTGGCGCCAGATCACCATATATCGCGGGGCAGGGGGCGAGCTATACCCACGTGGCGCCAAATCAGCGTATAGCGCGATTCAGGGCGCGCGCTTTACTGCTACGGGTGTTAGATCAGGAAATATAATCTGACCGATGTTAGATCGGTAAATATACCGATCACCGATGATTTATTGAAAAAATTGCCTAACATGACTCCAATTTTTTTATTCAAAATCATCATTTCAAACTATAGATTTCGCGTGAGATCAAAGCAAAACCTTAAGAACAGCCCAACAAAAACGTGTCTTATTTCAACTAGAAATATGTGGTTCATAAAATATTATATTGTTGATACATCATTTATTATTTTTATCAGATTTATATTTGATATACGTCTTTTTTTTAGCTGTCCTCTCGATTTTGAATGCGTTGTCTGAATTAATCCGAACTGATCCGAGTCGTACACTTGATTTTGGTAGTGAGTCCCTCAACAGAATTTTTTGCATTCACAAAAATTCAAATTTGAGTACTACTTAAACTATAACATCTTTTAATATATATTTGATACTTCAGCGATGAATAATTAAATATAAAATTTATTAATTAAATGGTGATAAGTTTTGAAAAATTAAAATTAGTATTTTTATCATAAAATCTATTAAAAATATAAAATAAGGATTCATACATAAAGATTGTAGACAACTCTCCTGCAATTAAATAAAAAATATATATAATTTAACTTATATCTAATGATAGATTGATTCACTGAGTTATATAAATTTATAAATAATCAATACATCAATTATTAATCATTTTATTTATTAACTAATGAGGATTAAGTGTAAACAAATATAAGAAAAATCTATGAGGAGGGGGAGGTACTTGTGTTCTCCGCCATCTGACCCTTGCTTGCATTAGTGACGATTTCTAAAAGCGTCCCTAGTGTAAACATTATACGCACTTACTGTGTCAAAAACTTCAGGTCAATAATTCAATCTTATCATTTCCTTATTAGAAGATAAATAAATCTTTTACGCAGTTGCTAGAGTTATATTATTTTTTAATGATTTAAACAAAATTTTTATTAAATATAATTGATTTTCAAGAGTTGTACAAAAGGGACGGCATTAAAAGTACTTTAACAAGCAATAATTGGCAAGTTGCCAATGATTAGGCCATTGGATTCACACAGCTTATGCCAACGTTGGAATTGCGGCGGCCGCCTTCTCATTCTGTTTTTGCTCTTCTTCATCCATTGTGTCACAGATTGTGCCGCCTCTCGTCTCCGGTAATCCGATCAATGGCAGCCCACAAATCCCGATCGCCATCCCGAAACACAAGCGCTTGCCTCACCATTGAGATGGCCGAGTTCCTCACGCATGTGGGGAACAGCTCTAATGTGTATATCAGAGACATGTTGAACGCCGCACAAGCGCTGAAGAATGATATCAGCTCCATTGCTATCTGTAAACTTGGCCACACTGGCCCATCACCACACACATTACACTGCATACACCGCTTAAGATTGTGAAACCCAACAATGACTCTTTCCTGTTGATTTTCCCTATAAGAAAGAATGTAATCAAAGATGCCGGGAGCTCGGATAAAGCGTTTAATATGACTCCCAAATAGAGGTTGACGGATAGATTTCCGAGGCCTAACGGCATGCCGTAGTACACCATACCAATCCCGAAACTTGTAACCATTACGGCGGCTAGCCTTTGAGCAGCCCACCGCTTGTTGAAAAGTATCCTGATTGAAGAGTAAATATCTACATTGTCATACTCATCCCCTGATTCTTGCTCGATTAAGACATTGGAGAAACTCATTGTCAAGGCACTAGCAGTCTGAGCCATGCTCTTGAGCGTCGTAACTGCTTCCTCTTTCCGTCCTTTAACGAAAAGCCATCTTGGGGACTCACGAACTAAGAAATGAACTAATATACAATACAAAATTGTCGGCACCGAACTCCATAGGTACAGATTTCTCCAGGAGGAACCTCTATTTACATATGCCATTACTGGTAATGACAGGAACCCTAAAGTAAAACAAAAGAACCCGATAACACCGACCTGGCCGCGCCACCGTTTTCCCACAAGCTCGGTTGATAACACCAGGGCACAAGTTCCAATTGTTGCGCGGCCAAACCCATTGATGAATCTCAGGGCTGAATAGATCCAAATATTGGACGAAAAAACGGTGAAGATGGAAGATAAAGACATCATTAGACACGAGAATAAAAGCATATTTTTACGGCCAAGAATTGAGTCGGCGAGCGTGGCGAGCACGAGTCCACCCACTAGGCATCCCATGAAGAAAGAAGAGGCGGGCAACCCTGTGATGAAAGAGGCGGAACACTCATGGCCCCATTCCGATATAATCGATGTGTGCGTTGGCCAATCCCAAGACCATGAATCCTTGGGGAGTTGGCAAACGTTGGAGAAACTGCCGCAAACCGATTCATCGGTGCAGTGCCACGAAGGCTCGGCATCGGTGAATACACTGATGAAAGCCTGCTGAGCGTCAAAGACCCAGGCAAACGAGACGAGTATTGCTTGAAAGATTTGGAGCCACCCAATCCTCCTATACAGCGTTCGATGGTTTCATCGAGTGATCGAGGAGGCAGTTTGGTTTCCGGCGGCTTATCAGAATCGGAAAGAAGCGGTGTTGAGTCGGCCATACACGGTTCTATGGAATGAATGTGTATTGTTTTGTGATGAGAAGGCTTGTGATCCTTCGTTGATATTTGCGAATTTAAATAGAGGCGTTTCAGGACAAACAATTTCTAATAAAATGCCAAATGACAGCTAATACAATGGGGACGATGACTGTATGACACGTAAAGCCATGTCAGCTTTTATTTAGATTAGGGCACATGTTTGTAATAATTATTTGTGTACCGCTGCTAGTATAAATGCCTCTTTCTTATGAGATTAATTTGTAATAATATCACAGTTTTATGATAAAAATAAGAACAATAATATTTACAATGAAATCAATTAAGAAATCTTGCTTGGTAATATTATATAAATAAGTTTAACTCATTAAATTATACATTTTAACAACCATTTCGAAATATGTCATCCATGCAGAATATTTTTGTATTTATTTTAGTAAACATATTTTGAAAATACGATATCCTTTAATTATTTTTTAAATAAATAATCGCATCAAAACCAAAAGCACACTTTTTATTCTCTCAATTAAAAAAAGGCTTTTTTGGTAAGTAATTAATAATAATTGTAGCAGTTGGAATTGTGAGTCATTATTTTCAAATAACATTATCATTACAATGTATAATTCCACCGGCGTAGTGGAGGTTAGAAAGCATAAGGAAGATTGAATATAATGTTAATCGGATATGATCGAATTCTGAATATAAGGTTAATTATATATGTATCAATTAAGTGAATTTAATGATAAAAGAATAATTATTTTTTTAAATTTTATATCTAAATATAATATATATAAAGATTGAATATTTATTATTAAAAGGTTGAAAATTTTTAAACATTATCTTATATTTACATTCTAAGATAACGACTAACATATGTTAAAATATTGTTATATTAATTTAACTTTTAAATAAAGTTCGGTTTTTATTGCGTCGCAATAACTAATTAGACTTGAACAATATCCCCATACATATAGTGACGCTTTCTTGTGTCCCTAAAATTTCCCCAAATCTGTTTTTAGTTACGCCTCATAGACATTTTGACTTGAAAAAAAAATCAAAAACTCTAATATTAACATTTAGTTAGAAGACAATATATTATTAGAAAGAACAATCTTGAATTCTTAAAATTTAATCTTTGTAAACCGAGAAATAAATAAGGAAAATAAGAAGCATGATATAATAATATTTATCGTAAACATTTAATTTCATTCGATTCCCGAAAACTCTTATCATATTTTGTAATAAATTTAGATTCTATACGCATTGAGGTGATGAAACAAATAACAAGTTGCATATAATAAATTGGGAACAGCTGTGATTTCAACAAATAGGGTTTGGGTGAAGATTAGATAAAGATGAGTGGGTGGGCAGTAAGTAGTATATCATAGTTCATACCAGAGAGCTGCCGATTTCGACTGCAATTATTTATATATTTTCAAAATAATGTCATTATCATGCATACATATTGATGATGATGATAATAATAATAACAACAACAAAATAAGTCGTCTGTATGTTGCTCCCTCTCCCCTCTCAAATCACCAAATTGTTTTGATATTTTCGCAGTGATTTGAGTTTTTCTGTTTTATATTAATTACTGCTATTACATATGTGTTGTTTTTTTTAATATGGATAAATAGTACAAGGTAATATTTGTTTAAAAATAATTATCAATTATTTGACATTAAACGTTCACACCCTTAACATTTTTTATGCTTAAATTTGGAACCTCAAGTTTTCTTGAGTGATTTAAAAAAAAACATTTTTAACATAAGTTTTCTCTCAATATTTTTATATCACCTACCTTTTTTTATTTAGTCGGCAGTGATATTAATATTAATTTTGGTTGTCGATCGTTGGTAATTATTAGTTCTCTTTTTTATACTATGTCCTTTTATTTTCATTTTTCTTCAGTTTTTTACAATTTTAAATAAGAATATATGTCCATACGACACTCTTTTCTCAGCTCTTGTGACACATGTTTTCTTTGTTCTTGTGGCAAGTTACTTGTAATTTTTTGTACGATTTTCACATGTCTTTTTTGTTACTTTGGTGCTCGCACAAAAATTATCACGACATTTATTTTCTTATCAAATTGTCGATAGTTATGTATGTTGGTAATGCGTAAAAACAATATCCCACATTGAGTGGGAAATACCACTGGACTTGGGTATTTATAGTGCTCATTCTTCTTTCCTTTGTTGAGTGATAGAGAACAAGGGGCAATCTTGCACGCCGCCGCCTGTCTCGGCTCGTGACAAGTGCCAATATGTGTCTTTGACACGTCCGCACAGATCCTATCTTTTTGGAGAAAATTCGTTAGGATTATGCTCATTTAAGAGGGTAACAACTTATTAATTAGTTGTTAATTTGATTTCTGAAAATTTTAAATTTAAACTGTTAGTTTCTAAATTATGTATGTGAAACATTGGATGTATCTGGACAATTTTTCAGCTCTGTTCAGAGTGTTTATTGTGCCAGTTATAGAGTAATTACAAGAGTTACAAAGTGTAATTACATGAGTAACGACTGGAAATTAAAGGACGAATTTGGACTGCTTTGAGGTCAAATTCATTTGTTTATAACAACAGTTTCAGACAGAGTTTAAATTCAAAAATTAATCACATTTATATATAATTTCTTTGTGGACAATTTTACCCCTTAACTAAGCCTATAAATAGAGAGGCTTTCCAAGCTTCTCAACTCACTCCCATTCTCACATATCCTCTCAACCTAAAGCATTTCAAAGCTTTTTTTCTCTGTTTCTATCAAAAGAGCAGTATCACCAGCAATCCACTCCAGTTTCGAGTGTACGAATTCTCAGAGCAACCAAGATAGCATCGGTGGACAATCCACTTATTGCAGTGATTACACACAACGGGACAAATTTGTTTATAAAACAGTGGTTTTTACCATGACACGATTTCAGTTGTTCATTTTTCAATATTTTTATATTGTCTTGTCAGTGTTAACGTCTCATTTTGCAGTCTATATGTAACATCCTCAATACCGGGTTAGTGACCAAATTGTAATATTTAAGGATTTGGTGATTAAAATGGAATAGTTGAAAAGTTCAATGATTTATTTGGAAATATTACCTTAAAGATGCTAGTAATTATAAAAGGTATTAAAGGGCAAAAGGGTCATTTGACTAAGAAATGAATTAAAAAAATGGGATATGGTAAGGATATATACACGTGGGAATGAGAGATTTCTCCAGAGCTTTCTTCTTTCTTCTTCTTCTTCATACGTGAAAGAGAGCCAAGCAAAGGTAAGCTTTCTGATATGTTAATTATTTGTTAATTTAAGGTTTGAGTTTTGATCGTTAGATGATAGCTAAGCTTAAGGAAAGCTTAAGTTATCTTAAAATCTAAAGATGAAAGAGTTAGGGAAGATTAAAGATTTGGAGTTCTTGAATGAAATTTTGATATAGAGTTGATAATTAGAATTGGAAGTTGGATTTGACTTGTCATCAATCTAGTTAAGACATATGAAGTGTTAGAAGTGGAATTAAATCATGTTGCAAAGTTGGTATAATTCTTGAATCTCATAAGGAGGATATGATTTTGGGGTTTAAGATGAAATAAATGAGTATAGATTAGTTTAAATAGGTGTATAAGAGTTAAGAATAGAAAAAGGGATGAAATATGAAGAGCTGAGAGAATAACGAAGGGATTTTCGTGCTCAAAGTATTATTTATGGGTTGTGTGCATCGATTCATCTTCAATGTGCATCGATGCACTCTCAAATAAATGAACATCGAATGCAATTAGTGCATCGATGCATAAGGAGTGCATCGATGCATAAGGAGTGCATCGATGCACCTACATGTAATGCAAACATCGAATATGATTTATACACTGATGCATGGATAGCGCATCGATGCACCTTTCCAGGGATGCATCGATACATGGTGTAGTGCATCGATGCATGCCTTCATTAAAAATTAAAAATGATTTTCTTCTAGCCTATGAAGTGATAGCTTAGAATATATCAATTAGTATATTGATATTTATCAATGTGTTATTATTATGTAGATATAGAATGAAAGCTTATTCTGGAACAATTGAAGAATTAGAATTAAATCAAAGCAAGCAAGGCTAAGGTGAGTGCAATTTTATTGTACTTATGTTATCAAATAAGCATTGGCTTGCGATGAGCCAGTGACAGAGTTACTATGGTAATAAGTAACTCGTCAAATGTTATTTGATTTGTGAATTCTATGTATGCATGAGTATATGTGACATGATTTATATGATTCATATGATATATGATACTGAACTACATGAATATATGAGAATATTGTATCAGTGGAATAATAGGTTTGACATGTTATTTTATGTGATACGTGTTTAAATGATCACAAGACATGAGTTATATGAAAGAGAAAGTATATATGATACGTGAAAGTGAATCATATGTTTACAAGAAAAGTGACATGAAAGTAAACCATGTGACTATATGCACATGTGATATGTGACAGAAGAAAAGTAATATGTGATCATAAGAGAAATGAAAGTGTATAAATGAAAAAAAAAATGTCCATGTTATGTGTATTGAGAGCTAGAGGTATAGTTGGCATGCCAAGAGTCGAGGGTTTACCTATGTTCTAAGGAACATATGAACAGTTTACCGAGGATCTTTATGATCTCTGGATAGTTACCGAGGATCTTTATGACCTCTGGATAGTACCGAGGATCTTTATGACCTCTGGATAGGTCATTCGAGACATTTATACGAGCTGTGGTGACAGCATAGTGGTGCACAACCTCAATAGACTCACGTATCTACAGTTCTCACAGGTGTACCATGGGCTAATAAAGAGATAATATTAATAAACTGGATATGATGATATGTTTGTTTCCTTGTGAAATGTTATGTGTAATATATGATGGTACAAATGGTAATTATAAGATTATATGATAAAAGGAATCAATGATAGTGATAGGAATGAAGATGATGATAGAGTTGCTTGTGTGTATGTGATGTACGATAGGATCTATGTTTTACATAACATGATATCTATATATGTTATATGGTATACGT